TCATAGACCCCTAGGTAAGATTCTGTGCATTACCTTCTAGGAGAAAAAATAGTTCTCTCTTCTCTACTCCATTACTCCTGTGATTGGCCATGAGAGAAATGAACTGATTGAATAGGCATCATCATTTTGACCTAATTGACAGGTAACTCCTTAACTGTGTGACTGTAGTCAAAACCATCAAACCACTTTATGTCAGCAAACATTATCTGTCATGTTTGCTCAGAAACTAATAGAGTTCTTACTAGATTCAGTTTTTTTTCAGTATCTGTCCTGATCAGTAGCCTATACTGTGTACATTGCATCTTTCACATGTAATTGGTGAGTTTCTACATTTGCTTTATAACTTTTCCAGATTTAAACTTCCTAGAGAGAAATAAGTTATAAAATAAGGCTTTGCTATCTTAAGAACCATAATGTTTATTGAATTCTGTATGTAGATAGAAACTTCATTCTGTACCCGTTTTTTTTTAAATCAGTTAATTGCCCCCTCACGTGCATATAATTCATTTTACTTGCTTGACTCATCTGTTTCCTTAGAAACACAGCTAATATAGTCATTATGTTATTTGATGCATTTAAAACTGTGACTAGAAGAGCAATATTGTCAATAGGTTATTACAGAAAGGGACAGAGAACACTCTGTCTTCACTCTCTGTCAGGTTATTCATTATATAACTTAACCACCCTGCTCTCTACTTCCCTATCTAGAAAATTGACTTCAAGTTAATATTTTAGCATCCTCTCACATATTTTATACATTTCTCTTTTTTAAGAGCCACAGATGTGTAGTTCTCAGCCCAAAGTTTGATGACGTTTTGGAAGGACATAAGGCCTGCTCCTACTGCATGTCCTTCTAGATTAGCTTCTCTTCCATCCTCGGTTCCGTAGTGGTCCCCATTGAACAATTCCAGATGATCCTTGACATTTCAAAGATTGGAAGACTATAGATTTTTTTTCCTAACTCAGCTCTGCTGACCTAAACTGTCCCAAATTGAGTTTCTTTCATCTGATCTCAAAAATAATTTCATTTTCATTGGTTGCCAATCATTTATTTCATCTAGCTGGTCTCCCACCTGGTTGAATGGGGAAGCTAGGGGAAAGTCAGTTATGGCATTATCATTAGTAGTAATGTGCCAAGAGCAACAATATTATTTCTTGTTATTTAAGTACAAGTACCCTTTGCCTGTTCACTGCAGATTTCATCCGCATGTACACATCTTAGTGCTTCCTTCTGGACATTGACATAAGATAATAAAAAAAGGAGAGCTTATAATACCATGCAATTAAACCTAAAAGAGTATCAAAAATACATTCTCTGAAGATTTTTTTTAAAAATAGTCATTTCTAGTTTAAGTCTAGACATCTCTAGCAATTTGCTTCTCCTGTTAAGATTTTATACACACACACACACACACATACATGTGCACACGAGCACAAGCGCGCATGCACATTCCTGTAACACAAAGGGAACATCACAGATTTGTGAGCTTAGTGTTACAAATGTCCATAGTTGTATCTGGTGCAACATAGTGCCCGCTACATCTCTGACAGAATCATCTCTACTTCAATCTCTTTCAATAACAAGAAACTTAAATACCTCTCTAGACAGCGCATTGCATCTTTGGAGTGCTCTGTTAGAAAATGGTTCCTTCTACTGAACCAAAATCTACCTTCATGGAACATCCACTCAGTAGTGGCAAATGTTAACATCTGAAGCAGCCCAGGAGCGATGTCCCTCTTTACCTGATAAACTTCCACAAGTGTGAAAACAGATATCACAGGTTCCTGAGCTTTCTTCTTCATCAGTCTAAATATCCCCAAGTCCTTCAACTATTTCTCATCAATTATGACTTTATTTCTTTTTTCCTTTGATTATGGCCTTCAGGCCACTTTTCGGTTTTCTACAACTAACAGTGATAATTATATAAGTAAAAATAGGAGACACCTATCAAATACTCTGCAAGAGTTCAAATATGAATACCCGTCTTGCTCTCCCCAAATCTTCTCATTTCAAAAATCTATTAAAAAACCTATTAAGCATGACTAGAAATGATTTATTCTTTATAAAAACTTCATGCTGTTATTGTTCAAGATGCTGTTAATCTCCAGATATTTATCGTGTCCTTCCCTTTAAAATGAAAGAAAGAAGAAAATAAGAGCCTGGCAAATGCTTCTAGGTACCTTGAGTAACTTGGTCCTGAAAAATGTCAATGTAACATGAAAATTGCTCTTGAGTTTACTGTTTCCTTTACAGTGACTGGTTGATATTTACTACACTGTTCTCAGGGCTCAACTCCTGTCGTTGACTGGGGGTTAAGTGGAAGTGGAATAGCACCCACTTGGGGGCAGTTAGCATGCTGAGGGGCCATAGACCTTATGGAGCGCTCTGCTGAAGGAATAAATGGAACCCCAACTTCGAGAGCTCTGATAGTATCTGAGAAATGACCTAGGATCATCCTCTTGTCAGCAGCACTGGAGCTACAAAGAGAGAACCATGACATGTAAATGAACTAGGTGGTTACCTCCCCAGTGTGATCTCATGTCTTAGCAGTGGCATTCAAAGGTTCCCTCCACCTTACACAAAAACATCTTCTGGCCTTGCACAGTGCCCCAATTTCTACTCTAAGAAATGTGTTTGAGCTGAGACATTTCATCACTAAGAGTTCTCACTGCGAGAACCTCTGTTAGAATGACCCACCAAGCTAAACTCCTCGGTAGTCCCAGGGCATGGATTCCTTTGTCAGATTGATTTTTCAAAGGAACTGCTAGCTGAAAGCAGGGCCCTAAAACACAAGACAGGTAAGTTGTGATAAGGGCAAGGGGCAGAACTGGAGCATGAGGGGAGAAGGGTCTTAGATAAGCATTGCTGGCTTTGGCAGTGCTGAGAAGTCAGTGAACGGCAAGAGTGAGAACTTGGTCTTCAGAGGAAGAATACTGTGGAAAGATGAGCAGAGAGGAAAGTCCGTTCTTTGACATCACATGTTTCTGGCTAAGTATTAAGGAAAGAAACTGTGAACAGCATGAAGAGCAAGTAAAGTGTTACAGCTGCCACAGAGCAGACCAGGCAAACCCTCAGGATGTCAGGTCACTAGACAGCAACTTCCGAGTCTCTCTTTCTCCATTCCCCGTGTCACAAAAATATGAGAAGAGTAGGTCGAACATGATGCTAAGTGAAAGAAGCCAGACACAAAAGGATATGTATTCTATGATTCCATTTATATGAACTATCCAGAATGGGCAGATCCAGAGAGACAGAAAGCAGATTAGTGGTTGTCTGGGGCTGAGGGAGGTGGGGAATGGGGAGTGATAGTTAATGGATACAGTTTCTTCCAGAGATGGATGAAAATATTGTGGAATTGGATGATGGCAATGGTTGCGCCATTCTATGAATGTACTAGAAACTACTGAATTGTATTTTTTAGAAGGGTAAATTTTATGGTGTGTGAATTATAGCTCAATCAAATGTTTTAATTAAAAAAGGAAGATATAGTCCCTTTAACCATACAGACCCTGAGCAAAATCAAAGATCAACTTCAGGATCCTACCGTCAGGAGCACTCCTTGCTCTAAAAGGATTTGCAGGTCCACTCCTTTCTCCTCCTAACCCATGGCAAGCTCCAAGTCAGTCAGTTGCCAGGCGGCACTGCCACCGATGGGCCGAGGCCCTTGTGAAGAGCTCACACAGTGGCACCTCAGCATGCAGTCAGTTGCTAGCTAGAGAGCAGACTGACTTTGGTAGTGGCTCAATCCTAAATCCTTAACTAAAAGTAATTCTGAGACAGAACAAGGTCACACACTGGAAATAAATTCCGTCATTTTCACTTCCTCCCTCTGAGATGTTAATGAGAGAAGCTGCTCTGCATAATATGGGACATCTTTCCAAATTCAGAGTGACATTATTGGCAGGATCAGAAGCAGCTGCAGGAGAGTCAAGCCATCACTCTCCCTTCTCCTTGCCATCACGTAAGAATTTCAAAACCCTGTGTAGCCACCGGAATGGTTCTGCACCATGAACATCTGTTGCGGGTGAAATCGTATTTTAATAAGGTCCTTCTAGTACTTTCACAATTCAGCTTCCTTCAAGAGGATCAACCATGTAACAGTGATTAGAGCCAGCCTCCAGCAGACTCAGCCTGCAATATAGAGGCCACAAAAACAAGCAAGTGTCCAGAGACAAAGAAACTCAAAAAGGTTCAAATGCCTGAGGCCAGCTTTCTAATCAGAGCTCCCCTTTCTTACCTTTTGACCTCTTGTGTGAGCCCACAAGATACCTACCCTTTTGAGGCAGGCCAGGGAAATGGAAAACTCGGTGGATCGTGACCTGCGGCCTAACCAGTAAAATCCCAGGAATATTGTCTCTGAAGAGCATTGACTCAGTAGTAGCAGATGGCTTCAAATGAAATCATGTTGTGTCTTTTCTCTTTTCCTGACATTCCAAAGAATAAGAACATTTTCTAGTTTAGATAAAAAGATTTGTTATCTTCATGGGATTTTTTTTCCCAAATGACATAAAGGGCTGGGTTTAAAAGGATTTAAAAATTAACATGACTGTATTTCACAGATGATTATAGCCTTTTAATTCTAGGCAGATTTGACCCAAAGTCAGGCTTGTCAGACTGTACTCCTGTGTGAGAAGCCTCATAGCAGGTCCCAGAGTAAAAGACCCCAGGCCATGCCCTGCGCCTAATGGCTTACAGATCAGGTCCCCCAACGTTTCCTGCTTCTTTCGACCTGACAGTCCTGTTTCTCCCACTGCAGTTGCCCCCTTGGAGTGTGGACAGCTGGAAGACACAAAGCCCTAGCAGTTGATGTACATGATGTTTTATTGAAGCTCTTTTGATGCCAGGGACATTCTGTTATGGTCCAAGAGAAAGCCTTTATACTTGAAATTTGTTAAGTTTTTTTTTAATATTGCTGAGTAATATACTAATGTGCACAAGAGATGTCCTTATCTTATCTCTGGGATCACATAAGTGTCTTAGGGTTGGTTTGGGATACCTGTTGGCACTCAAGACTCGGTAATAAAATGGGGATTTTGCATTTTGATAAGGTGGCTTTCAAAGCAGAGTGTAAAATGCTCAGGCCCTTTGCAGTGGCTACTTCCTCAAACTCCGGCCCAGTGGGTTTTAAACCTTACTCAGTGTCAGAGTCACTAGCTGAGTTTGTTAAAAATAAAATGCCCAGGTTCCCCTCCCACCTCAAGGTTCTGATTCAGTATGACCGGGAGAGCCCCAGGAAACTGCACGTATGGCAAGAGCCCGAGTGATTCTGATAAAAATGGTCCAGAGAGGGGTTTTTGAAAAAACTGCCCAAGAGCTTTGCCCACCCACCAAACAGGCTGCTCAATCACCTTGATACCATCTTAAGAGGAGAAGCGAGGAGGGATTGGGTCCGCTCTGGCTTGCACATCTGACTAAATGGTCCCTGTGGAGTCTCTCTGACAGCCACAAGCTGAGTTAGGAATAGGTGTGTCTGGTGAGATTTGGCTTGTTTCGAATGATACTGATGCATCTCTGTTTGCTTTTACTTGCTACTCGTGGATACCTTGTGCACCCTAGAAACAGAGATACCAGACATAGGTAAGCAAATCACATGGGCAGCTGCCAAATGCCCCTTCTTGCTTAAGAGGTCACTTGCTAATAATGTGCTAACAGGGAAATTTTACTTCTTAAAGTCAAAAGAATAATGTGAAAGTGAACTTGCAAGTTACAACTCAGGTAAGTGTCTTCCAAAAGAAGAGAACTCCGTTAAATGGGAATTTGCTGGAAGATCAGAATGCACCAGAAAGAACACAAGAAAAATGGAAGCTGGCAGTTCAGTACTTTAGGGGAAAGCAAGGCCTTACGTCTCTTCATGTTTTCCTTAGGTGGTATCACAGCTGAGACCGTAAGTTCAAAAGGCTTCAATGTTTTTAGGTTGCAGGTAGAGAGAGAGAATGCAGCAGGCTTCCTAGATCCAGAAACATAGTCGATGAGAATATTAAGAGACAGTGACTACAATGACCTGCTTGAATAAGATGTTTCCTTTTTTCTTTTATGTGTCCTCATGGTTTTTAGTTCTTCCCACCAAAAAAGAAATAATTGGAAAGCTTTAAACTGACCATTTACCGACAATGGCACAAAGCTCTGAAATTAATCATAATGAGTATTCCTGTTCAATTTGTTTATGCATTACACTTGTCAAAACCGTTCTAAATTACCTGAAATTACCAAGGAGAAAATTGAATTTGTTCGCTTCCGAATGCCAATTGTCATCACAATGGCACCGATAGGATTTTTAATTTGGATTCGGTTTGGGAAGATGCCACTTCCTAAATGCCAGTGCACACGCTCAGCCTTGTTACTTTGGCATAACTAATTTCTTAAGCAAATTAGGTTGGTTGTCAAATTGCTTACTGGTAAAGTGTTGCACAGTATTAATTAGAAGCATTAATTGCCCATTTTACAATCTAGGTGATTTTTAAGTAGCATGAGTGAAGTGATTTTTGCTAAGTTGAAGGGTGTTACCCGAATATAAAACTAACCAGAAGGTGACAGTAGGTCTAACAAGAAAGTTATAAAAGAAATCTTCACATACTCCAAACTGCAATATGCATTTAGACACGAGGGATTAGAACAGATTGGAATTTAGGGTTTTTTTCTTTCTCAGGTATGGCATGTTTTCAGAAAGTAGAAAGAAACCAATCTCAGAAGAGCTGAAGTACGCTTGGGAAATGGCATGAAATAGCAAGAAATTGCATATCGGTGCAGGAGACCTTCCTGACTGCTGGCTGTCAGGAAAATAACATTAATCAGATTGGAATCTGGTTTGTTGGGCTATTCCATTTTCTAAAGGCCAGTGCACAAAGTTTAAGAGCAGCCTCGCTGAGCAAAACAGGACATGCTGCTCAGTTAGAAGAAGGCAAGAGCACACTGATATTGTTTTCTCCTTGCCACCTTCAGAACAAAAATATTCTGAAGGTATTTCGTACTCTCAGTCACATATGATCTAATCTACTTGTAGTGCGGGCACAGGCTTGTTAGTGACCCTGGGCAAGCCCTCTGTGTGTCTGGGTTTCCCAGCTGAGATCTGAGGAGCATGCCAATTCTAACTTCCCTCACAGGCGCATCGGGGGTGTTCAATAATAAATGAATGGAACACATTCCAAAGTGCTTTTGCACAAATACCATTTCTCTTGGAGAAACAGCCCATGGACTTGTCCTAAACAAAACCTGATTCACCTGGCTTAGGTGAGACTTCCATAAACGGGCTACCGAAGTATTGAAGGTTGTTTCAACGAAGGGCTGTGACCCCTTCTTTATTCTAGCAAGATATAAGGGCACTGGAGAAATGTCATTCTGAAGGTGAAAATTCAACCAAATATGTAGACACTTTTACTCAAAGCCCTATTTAAGCAGTCTTTGCTACAGAGATGCTTTGTCTGGTATGACTGCCAAATCAATACTGGAGTCTGTTGGGGCCCTTTACAGTGTATTTACAGCATCTGTCATGGTGGTTCCAGGGTTGAAGATGTCCCTGGAATCTACCGGATTCTCTTATTTGATGAAGGTAAGTAGAAAAAAATCAAGTATTCCAACTGGATCTGATTTTTTTCCTATTAAAACTAAACTCGGTCTCCAATCAGTATTTGCCAGCCTTTGCTATCCTTCACGTATATAAATATGCTTAGAGGGCAGACACAATTACAAGTAGAGTCAGGAACAGGCCAGTCCTTAAGGATATCTTAATTATTCTGATGACCTCTCCCCTCCATTTTGCTTGGCAAGTAGCCAAGGCCTGAACTCTTTCATGTCTTAGTTTCGTGTCCTTCAGTTCAGTTTAGTTCAGCACTTACTGAACATTGACCCTGTCAGACATTCTGTTGACACTGAGGATAGAGAGATGAACGTGGTTCCTGCCTGCAAAGAGCTCACAGTGTGTTTGCAGAGAGAGATGTGAAAATAACAGTGCTTAAAGCCCAGCATGCAGATCTCGGTTTCTAATACCATTCTCTGATAAAAGGAACCAGGGGTCCTTAGACTCATTCAAGTAGTGGGGCAGGGATTATATAAGATGAGCCTGGAGCATCTCGTAGTTCCAGAAAGTAAGTATGTGCTCAAAAAATAAAAATAAAAACACACCCCACATTGATGGGGGTATGTCAGAGGGGCACACAACCCGATAGAAGTTCTGCTCCCAGAGGCTAAAGCTGGAACAATTTGAGCAACAAAATAAAGTATCATTGAATTTCAATGCGAAGTATAAAACAAATATCTATGAGTCCATAGTGCTATAAATGGCTGAATTCGTACATAAATGAAAGAAGAGATAAAGCTCTCATGCAGAAGAATTCCAGATTTGGGGCTTGGATAATGTCAATAGTACAAGAACTTGAGGAGGCAGGAAAAGAGAATAATTTAATGTTTGGGATTTGTTGAGTTTGAGGTGACGGAGACATCCAGACAGTTATCTGGTGGGTATTTAGAGAACTGTGTGAACGGTATGTATGGGACAGATGACCCCCTGGGACACACTGTCTCCTGCTGCTTCCTCTATGGGCAATGGATGGTACTGAAATATCAGTGTCACTACAGGTTAGCAGTACACAGTGAATTTTTTTATACCCAGACCCATTACTAGAAAAACAAAGACGTATCCATCTTCTCAGTACATAAGAAGGAAGGTACTTGAATTCTTTTGTCTGTTATGAGAATATTCCATTTGTGACGAAAGGCAGACCCCAGCGGTGCATACTGAACAAATGGTTTTGAATAACTTGACTTTTCTCTTCCTTAGCACAAGTCCTGCTCACAAATACTATCTGGCTATGGACCCTATGTCTGAATCACTTTATCTATCAGACACCAATACTCGAAAAGTCTACAAGTTGAAATCTCTTGTGGAAACAAAAGATCTGTCCAAGAATTTTGAGGTGGTGGCTGGAACCGGTGATCAGTGCCTTCCCTTTGACCAGAGTCACTGTGGAGATGGCGGGAGAGCATCGGAAGCTTCACTGAACAGCCCTCGAGGTAAAAAAAAAAAAAAAA